TTTTACACAATGCTTAATAGTCTGCCATTTTGATCCAAGCAAACCGTGAGGAGATGGAGAAGCCGGTGTTCTTGTGTATTGTGGTCTTTTCTGTCATTTGAAACAACTTGAAGTGACTTGTTTCTGGCTCTCTGCAAAGTCCCCTGATTTTTTGTGATTGGCTGGCAAATGGGGAAGACAGGATTTTATTTGTCTGTGATTTTCCCTCAAGCATTTTCCTACAAGCAAACTTTGTTGGCCATGTGAATATCTTATTTTAGTCAAGATGCTGAGCAATTGGACAAAGTCTCAGTTCATAAACACACAAAAATTTTATCACCTTCCAAACAAGCTTGGTCACTAACTTAAACCTATATTTAATTTTATTCATCTTTATGCACCTTTCTAACAAAGTACTACTATAACATTCCTTTGTATCATTGATAGTGCCCACAACAGTGCTGTTTGAGGATTTCTTTGTAAGGAACTGGAAAAGGAAAACAATGGCTATGAAAAGTCAACTATCAAGTGTAAGTGATGTGTTCATATGATTTTCTCTTTAAAGTACATACATAAATGTGCTACTAGAGGGTGCATACAATTTACATTAAATGTGGTCACCTTGTAAGAAATTTTTTAAACTTTTGTTTATTTCATCTGAAAGTTTGTTGTCTAGAGTACCCTAAAACATAGCTCTTCAAGGTGCATAACCCATCTTGTGCCTGCCTTTAGTAGAAGACTCCTATTGTTCCTGTGAAACTTAACTTCGAAGAGACACATTTGATGCATATCAAACAATTTAATAGGTTGAATTTGAAAATGACCTAACCTGACTTTCTCATCGAATGTTGATGTAAGGTTGCCATTTACTTGAGAGAATGAATGGATAAAATTGAGAAAAGTAGCTTTCAATGTTAGGACAAGATTCCCATCAAAGACTTTTTCATGAATTTGGGTAATAAATAAATAATAAGCAATTTACCTAATACTATTTTTATGTACCAGGTGCTGTGTCAAGATATTATGAAACGAAAAGACAACAATACCTCGACAATCTACCTGACAGAAGAAATAAAGCAGAGAAGACTGCTCTGCAATAAATTGATGCAAATTTCATGAGTGGCAAGGAGAATGGTGAGGGCAGTCAAAAGGATGTGTGGGTTGTGAGGTCACTGCCGTAGCATAGTCCACAGCTATCTCCTCTCTTAAAGAGACTTCAGAAGAAAATTGACAACCAGCCATCTGCCTCCTCAATCTCACATCCACAAAATAAAAGAGTAGAGGGAGAGCCATCCACACGCAGTCCACCAACTTCCTCACCTGCATTGGTACTCCTTCCTGGTGATAGACAGAGCCCTGAGAAGTGTCCTTCTCCAAATAGGATTCCTCCCTCCCCACAGTCCCCACAACATTGCAGTGGTGATGAAAGCGATGGGGAACCCTTGCATATGTTGGACACCAGCCTTGTCACAATCCGAAGGAGGCCAAACAGATGGCTACAGTCACTCTGGGACTAAATTAATGCCAAAGTGTTCTTTATTTACATAACTTGTATGTTTTGTCTTCTGTTTTTAATTCAGTTCATTTGACAGAATGGCAAGGTGGTTTATGGGGATTAGGGTGAATGGTTCCTTTTTAACCCCAACTCACGAAATGTTTTTTTTTTCGCATATTGCATTAGCTGGTTTCACAAACTGAAAAATTAACAAATGATGCCGCTTTCTCACTCTCTTTCTCATCTTGATTGGAACGTAATCTGCCAGCCATTGGAAACAGTTCAAAAATCTGTGGGAAGAATCCTTAAATAATATAGAATTTTGCAGTGATCAACTCCATTTATTGTTGAAGTAGTATCAGATGTACTGAAGACTTTTGTAAAGAATGCTACAGTTTTGGATATGCCACAGTTAATTTGATTGGAATGATTTCAAACAAGCTTCTTGAATTATTGTGCTCTTCAAACAACTTTTATGTTTAAGAATTGGCTTTAAAAAGGCACTTTCCAGCTCAGTAAACAACCAGGGGCCACTAAGTTGTTAACATTGTGTGACTTGCTTTGAATTTATTGTAGTTTTTGATAAAATTTTATTACTCTCTAATATTAGAGTATAGACACTTCTTATTGTTATTCTTGTCTTCATATCCGACTGATGGATAATTGTCTTTTTATCATACTAAAATTATTTTCGTGGTGTAATGATTTATGTAAATATTGAAAATGTTGCTTTCATCCATGTCAAGCATTAAGCACTTTTAGCTTAGTATATTTAATTATTACACACAATCTAAATTTTTTCCCTTTTTGTGCATAAGGTTAGACTTAGTTGTTAGTCATCACATGATGAAATAGATTCTGTAAATTGGCCATTTTGAGTATTATTTATTAGATGTTTAAAATAATTTATTGTTTTATAGAGTAAAGGTTCTGAGAAAAATACACCAGTAAGAGGATGCAGAATTATCGGGAGAATTCGTTGCTTTTTCCAAGAACACCTGATAGTATGTGGTGTGGATCGAGAATGCCGAGTGAAATATCTCGTACCGTGGAATATCAAAATCTAGAATACGAATCTATTCTTCATGTACCGGGAAATTTCGGCTTCTAGAATACCGACCGATTCGTCTAGTACCGTGGAATTTCGGGACAAGAATGCTTGAAACTGTTCTCACCGTGGAAAAGACAATTTTTAGAAAGGCACAATTTTACAGACCGCG